CCCCCCCCTCACCGCCACCCACCATTACCTCCACCACTACCACCTCCCTTCCTCCCGCTCGCCCGCTCGCCCGTGTCGCGCGCGTCTTCGTGCTCGCAGCTGAGGCCGCGGCGCGGGCACCTGCCGCTGCAGTCCAAGGTTCCGTGCGCGCGCAAGCACGCATCCACGCACGCGCTCTGCATTATCTGCGCTGCCGCTCGTGTTGAAAGAGGGTGCGGGGCTCGTGGGGCGAGGGAGATAAGGGCGGAGGATGGGCGAGGGGGAGTCGAATGCGCCCTTAGTTCTACGAACATTGGGCTCTCAACGCTAGATAACCTTCTCGGAGTTTGATTTTTGTGCACTGCCTAAAAAAACAAACAAACAAAAGAACCAAAATCAACAACAAAGACACTGCACTGTCTAGATTCTCAATAATGTAATCAGTCAAAAATACCAGCTGACAGCTGTATAATCGTAGGTGGGACAGCTTGTTTCTTCAGTTTTGTAATTGATTGTTTCCCCTATTACTCTAATGAAACCGATTTATTGAGTTCTCGTTCTTTTACTTGTTTGTATGTTATGTCTATTAAAAAAATCGTGGTTAGGGTAAAAGCATCAGTTCCTTGGACTGAAGTCAAAAAATCAAGGGTCGGAGAAAGTACGTGAGTACTTTTGTGACGTAAAGGTTTGAGATTTTAAAATATGAAAAGTTTCGCTGCCATTTCGAAAGTATTTCAGGAGCAAACGTTTGGCAATTTTACACACAAGTAATCACTTCGAAAAATCCTGAAGATGTTAAAAAAGGATTAGTCACAATCTTTAATGTTCTACTGACGAAAATAAGTTAACTCATTCACATTCAATTTTATATGGTAATATTATCACATGTGAACATAGTAATATGAATTAGGATTTTTAAAATTATGTTGGGATAGGGAGAACGACCTAATCTCATAATAGTAAGTTTGTGCACACTCGAACGTTAAAGCACTATCGCTCTCTTGCGCATGCGCAGTTCACGTTTCGCCCAACTTTAGTGCATCTGCGCATGCGCAGAAAATCAATAGTGTACCACTCCCTAATAAAGTATGACAAATCGATGAATCATTACGGAGTTTTTGCACGTCTTTGCGGGCAGTAATCGACTGCAGTCTCTGTCTTATGCGCATGCGCCGATGCACAAAACTGATGAGAAACGTGAACTGCGCATGCGCAGATGTTATTGCTTTCGATTGCTGTAACGTTTGAAGGTGCAAAAACCCTTTATTGGGGAATTTGTGCGCGCCATAGCGGACAGCAATATCGATCTTGTGCGCACACGCAGTTGCACGAAAGTGATGTGAGACTTGAAGGGCGCACGCGTAGAAAATCAGTAGTTCTTTAACGTTCGAGAGTGCACAAACCTACTATTATGGGATTAGTGCGTTCTCTCTATCCCAATATAATAAAAAAATCTAATTTCCTATTACTACGTATGTTCACATGGGATAACATTACCACATAAAATTGAATGTTCATGAGTTAACTTATTTTCATCAGTAGAACATTAAAGATTGTGACTAATCCTTTTTTTTAACATCTTCAGGATTTTTGTAAGTCATTACTTGTGCGTAAAATTACCAAACCCCCAATTAACGATCACCGCGTAGGAATAATTGGCTTTGAATCGTTTACATTAGTTAATCGATAACACATCGGATAGTGAGTTTCGCAAGGGGGGGAAGGTGACGATAGACGCGGAAGCCATGTTTTGAATTCCTCGCTGACGCGCGGAATGTGTAAATAAATACAATAAGAAATTAGATGAAGTTTTATTTATTTTTGGTGTCTGTAGAAAAAAAATCTCATAAAATTGTTCGACAAATTGATTATTGGTGTATAAATAATCGGCGGAGGAGTCATCCTGCCATTCTTTGAATTGATATTTACGTTAACTGATCATACAAAGTGATTTTCCGACGTTCGCGGACGGTGACGGTAAACGCTGAAACCGGGACTCAAATTGCTCGTCAATGGGTGTAATATATAAAGAACCGGAAATACCAACTGAGTAATTTCGAAATTATTTTGACGTCTATATAACGAATTAATCCTATAAAAATATATGGCGTCGATGTTTGGTTTTTGAATATGTCTAGTGGATTACACGGTCGTAACAAATCACACGTCAAATAGATGAATTTCGAAGGCGTCGGTAGGTGACAACAGACGCCAAAGCCATTCTTTGCAGATGAGCTTAGTGTGTGAATAAACGAAATGCATAATAATCTATTTATTTTGGAGCTACGTTTAGCATATTGATTTCATAAAATTGTTCGACAAATCGATTATTGCTTGGATAATTGACGGGGGAACCGTCCAGCCAGTTGATTACGTCCATTAACTCGTACATTTCATAATGAAGGAAAGTCAGGATAAATGCGGAAACCGTGTCACGAATTGCTCACTGATACGCATGATATATAAATACGCATCGACAGAAATTGAATGGGTTTGAAATTACTTTGAGAACTATAGAATGAACTAATCTCATAACATTATATCTCATCGTTACGTGGTTACGGAACATTTCCAATGGTTTATGTTCATTAACCGATCACACAACGAATAGAGAGATTCGAAAGCCCCGGAAGGTGTCGTTGGACGCGGGAGCCGTACCGCAAATACCTCGCTGATGAACGAAATGTGTTGAGAAACGCCTCGCTGAAAAAGGTAAATAAAATATATCCGAATTTCTCTTTTTTTTGGGGGGGGGGAGGTCTGTAGAACTAATCAATTTCATTAAAACCGTCTGACATAAATGATTGGTTACCGAAATTACGGAACAGATTACGACCGTTAGCCGATGGCACATCATATAGAGGGATCCACAAGGGCTCGGAAGGTGATGGTGGATGCGGAAGCCATGCTGCCAAAGCTTCACTGACAAACGAAGTGCGTAAATAAACGTGGGGAGAAATTAGGTAACACTTGAGTATTAATTTTTGTATGTATTTAGAACTAATTAATATTTTAAAACTGTGTGACATCGATGATTGGTTCCCAGAAATTTCGAATGTATAACGTCCGTTGACCGATCGCACATCATGTAGAGCATGGTTGTCCAACTGATGACCCGGGATGCCATTTATTGACCCGCGAAAAGTTATTACTCACGCGGTAGTCTCTTGCATCCATGTTGGTGCGAGAATATTGTGCGCCTAGGGCACGCGACCTCCTTAATGTTAAAATTGGTTAAGTTTAGATGTAAGGATTTTTCCACTAAATTCAGAAATGCACAAAATATGTTTCATTGTGTTACGCATAAGGATATCGGGCATGATTCTATTCCCCGCCTCGTTTCAGAACAGCTGGGGAAATTGGCGAGATCAACAATACGAAGTAATCAGGTGTGGATCGCCTGAGTACTGTAAATATGGGCCGCAACTGTATTAAAGGTTTTTAGCTGTGGCCCATGAGTCCTTGCGAGTTGGTCTCCCGATATAGAGCGGCCCACATGTGCTGGTAAATGCGGAAGCCGGGCCGCAAACCGCTGGCTGACGCGCGCGTGCGCCTCTCTTTTGTTGCAGCGGGGCGTCGCGTGGAGGTCGAGGTCGCCGGCGCGGCCGAGGGTGGCGCGTGCGCCGGAGGCGGCGGGGGCCTGCTCCTGAGGGCGTGAAGAAAGCCCCGCAGGTATGTGTTCCGCGTTTAGATTGTGTTTTGTTAATTAGAGCCTTGCGCGCGTTTAAAACGAAGTGAATAAGAAAAGCGACAGAATTAAATTATTCTATCACGTCTCCGTCCAAAACATTACATTTATAATTAGTGAAGTAAATGGATGATAGGCATATTGGTAGTTGCATGTACATGATTGTTCCCTTGGCTATCTGTTCCTTTTAATCGATGATAAACCAAAACAAGCAAGTCGCATTTACAACCGTGGATTATAACTTGTGGAAAATTTACAAATCATCGTCCTGAACGAAGAAGATAAACAGTAATTAAATTTAGTGAATGGTATGTTTCTTCTAAGCTTCTCAGCTTGAGCCCTGTTGCGTGTGAGCGACGAATTTAATCCCTTTTTTCGATACCTTATCATTTTAGGCACATTCATGATATCCTGTTACAAAAGTAATAACTATCACGTAATCTTCCGTCGGTTTTTTAAGTATGCATTGATATAAATATATTTTACATTAGCTCTCTTTGTATATTTCTGTTTAGGAGATTTTTCCATTAATACTCAATAAACAAAAATATGTGAAATTATGATACGGGCATACGCTGAGAAATTTCGGATAAAGATGCATTAAACGACACTTTCCCTGTTGATACACTGGAAAACGTTCAGTGATTTCAGAACGACAGGCAAAAGATGCAGCTCAATCGTGTGTGTGCGTACCGTATTTCCAATTATGAGCAGGAATGGTGGATGGCTGCTTAGTTTTCGTTAATTCTGGGTAACTATTTTTGTGTCATGTCAGAGCGGGCTAACAATGTGTAAATCAGAAGATTGTCTGAATTTTACTATTAGAATCATAAGAGAATATGTTGTAAATAACTTTTCTTTTAAATTGGAAAAAATAAAAGTAACGTATCAGGAATGTGGCGTTGAAGTAGCACTCTGCCACAGGAATTAGTAAACCTATAAAGTAAGTAGCATTCCTGTTAACTTACAAGATCTTATAACTGTATGAAATAATAGTCACGCAAACGTTAGAATGTTTGGTCAGTTTCATTGCCATAGAAATGGTCTCAAAACGTTTGCACTGTCAGGAAATTTTCGACACTGTATTTGCCGGACTGACTATTTTCGTTCGCGGAGTTTAATTTGTGTGCGCGGCAATCTTTCTGACAGGCGACGGAGACCTGGGCGGAGGCAACGGCCTTGGTGGGACAGAAGCGGCACCGCGGTGCCCGCCACCCCGCCCCCCGCCCCCCTCGGGCGTCGTCGCGGGCTCCCTCCTCCCGTCAGCCCTGGGCGCCGCTGCCGCGGCACGCTGCCCCGCGACCAGCGGCCGGGCGGGGACGTCCCGGCGCGCTCACCAGAGCGGGCGCGGACGCCGCCGCCGCGCCGCCGCCTAACGGCGAGCGGAAGCGCAGGAACCTCACGCAGAAGGCGATCCGCGTTGGCATAAGGCCGCCGCGCGACGGACGAGAACGCGCGCGTCGAGGCGGCGTGAGGGCGCTGACTGTCGTGTCCGAGCGCCCCGTACGGACGCGGAGGCGCCCGCAGCGGAGGAAAAACGAACAGCGCTGCGGAGAAACCCGCATCAGCAGCCAGCCAGAAGGGAGGAAACGCCGTGTTCCACAAGCGCCTCGGCAGCGGACGCCAGAAATCGCCAGAGCAGCCAGCTGCCAAAACGCGGTCAGCAGCGAAAACGCGGCAAGGAGCTTTTTGGGCAGCAAAGCGCCGGGAAGGCAGGCCGCCGACTCAGCGGTCGGAAGACATCGGACGAGGCGGCGCGCGGCAGGCCGGGGGGCGGCCGCGGCGGGCGGCGGCGGGCGGGGCGCGGCGGGGAGAGGAGCAGGAGCGGAAGCGGGGGAGGCGCAGATGGCTCTGCGGCGGCCGCGCGCAGTGCAGGCCGCGAGCGCGACGCCGCCGCCGCCACCACCTCCGCGTCCGCGCCCCCCGCGCGCCGCGTCAGCTTCAAAGTGCGCGGGCCCGTCAGACTGCTCGTCGCGGCGCTTCCAATATGGTGGAGGCGCGCGTCGTGCTCAAATTCCAACACGGTGGCCGCGCTCAACGACCAAGTTCCAGCGCTCATCAGCGGGGGCGGCGGCGCGCGGCGCGCGGCCGCGCCGGGGCGCGCGGCGGGCGGCCGGGGCGGGGGCGGCGGCTGCCGGGCTGCGGCGACCGGGCGCGGGCGCGATGCTGCTCCGGAAGGGCGTGCGCCTGCCGGCCGCCGACGCCAAGCCCGCGCGCGCGCAAGAGCAGAGCAGCGGCGCCCCGGCGGAACGCG